GGGGGGGGGGGGGGGGGGGGGGGGGGGGGGGGGGGGGGACCGCGCAGTTCCGAGCTTGAGAGAGGCGCACGAGGAGACTTTGTGCGAGCGGTGACGTACAAACAATGGCCGCATTGAGTTGCATTGCGTTCGGGACTCCCCCTTGCTCTCAACAACTCTTCGTTATGAGGAAGAGAGCGGAGCGAGGTTCAAGGACCGACGAACGTGCTGCAAAAAAACGACGCAAAAAAATAGCAGAGGGGGGGGAAGCCCCGAACGAAAGATGCAACAAAGTGCGCAACGGGAATTCTACCTTTCGTATCGCTTTCGGCAAATGCATGAGCAACACGCCACGTACACGCACACACACAACCGAAGCACACGCGTAGGTCGTCCCCTCTCTCGTCGCTACACCCCAGAGCTCCTTGGCACCCTCACAAAATGGCAATCCCGCTCTCTTTGCTCACGATCCAAACTTTCGAAGAGGAAAATAGCGGATATTTGTGCGGAATCATGCACAACAGGTAACACACCCACGTGCGGGAGTGCTGACCAAATACGTGGATTCCGGGGCAGCTGCGGTTATTCTCCAGCTCTTTTGAACAGCAGTTACTACACGATGCAAGGCACGTCCGCCTTGCCTGCCGTGTGTGCGCGCACTCTCTCGAACACTCTTGAATAGAGGGACTTTTTTGCACACCCAGCCGAGAGAGGTGCACAAAAAACAATCCTTCGGAGAGCAAGATTTGCGCAGTTACCTGCTGTGGGGTAGCCAGAACAGGCGTGCAAAGATGCGGCCCGCGCACTCCCAAGAAATTCCGTCTCCTTAGCCGATCGCTCCCGCGCGGCGCTGCTTGTGTCGTTCCGCCCTTCCGTCTCTCTCTCTCTTCCCGCTGAAGAGTAAGTTTGCGCGCTGTGTACGAGACTTGGTGGAACTCCCTCAGAGGCACTGTGGATGAGATTCCGGGGTATGCTTGATAAATTCGCGGGTTCGTTCTGGTTCACGTACCACCCTGCTGCACTGCCCAGTCTGTGTGTGTGATAACAAGAGGAGTTGCGGGCTGGCTGTAAAGCAGAGGTGTGGAAAGGAGTAGAGTTTCACTTGGCAAGGATGGCGATCGTGGCGTTTTGGTTGGCTCTGATCTTCTTTGTGGGCTGCTTGGCCTCGGTGTGGTGGATTCTCTTGGTCGATCACGGTGATCTGAAGGAGGAAGACGAACCGGGCGAAGATTTCCACAACCCTCTAGCCGGCGCGGATGGGGTGAGTGTTCACGGCAGCGCGTGTTTTTCTGTATTATTTTTGTGCTACTATACCGCTAGACGTGTGCGTCAGCTTGTGCCAGTTACTGCAGTAAAATAATTGATGTCTGGTCTGTGCGTGCAACACTGCTTGATGCTGCTTCCACAGGCCACATTTTGTTCCTGTTGCTTCAAATGTTCCCACGGAGGTCGCCTCTCCTCCCCGCCTTGCATGCGACGGATACGGCGGTTGAACCCCCCATGATTCAGGAGCAAGGAGCGCTGTTTTTTGCTATTGCTGTAAAAAATGGTGGCATTGGTTCTACGTACAGAGCACTGCTGTCGATGGTCCTAGTGCTGTTATGAAGAAGCATGCATCCCTATTTACTGCCTGGCTGTTTCCCCACTCTACATCCAGAGAAGGCTCAAGTATAACCATCGAACATTTGGGGATGGTGACTCTGCAAACCTGCAAATTCAAAAATTCAAAGACGACCTGCTGTTGCTTAGATCGTTCACTAGCAAGCCTGCCGCAGCCTCATCAAACCTATTTCACAAAACTCATGTCGACCCCAGCGCGCGACGAACCTGACTCGCCACCCGCAGCCGTTGCAAGTAAACTTACAGGGTGTTTTGGGACGCTCAACCGCTCCTGTTCCAGCTGTGATCACGAGCACATCCGCTGGTCACTACTGTGAAGGGTGTACACGTATCCTCGTGGTGAACGAAGCATGAGCAAAAGGGTAGGCTATCTCAGACCACAGGAGGGTGTTGATCCCTCAGCCATCTTGCGAACAGGCGGTCTCTCCGGAGCAGTGGTGTGACTCTGACCGGTCGCCCCGGTGGTCTAGTGGTATCCTCGTAATCCGCTAGTCGCAGAGGTCGTGAGTTCGAATCCCCATGGGGTGAACAATTTACGAAAATTGCGGGTGAAAGCGAAACATAGCTAAAAAGCTCTCGTGAGTACCAAACTTCGACGTCAGTACCGTTGACGAGGGAAAGGGACGGCTGGACCCTTCTCGCGATAAAAATAAAGTTCAGCACGCACCGCAGGAGGAAGGTGGGGCATGAAAACAAATAAAAAGAAGAAAAAAGCCCTGGTGTTTACCCCCTCCTGTGTGACCCTGGATGGTTGCAGTTGTACGAAAAAGTACACTGAAAAATGTAGTCTAGTACTCTACATACGCTGAAAAGAGTAGTACATGTCTCGTCACGAAAAATGGGGGGACTGTCGCCATAGTAAATAGGACGAAAACACACACACACACACACGGGAGGAAGGTTAAGGTCAACCAGGCTCGTGTCTACGCCTGCCACCACACGCACGCTCCCTTTCCACGCGCGTTTGTTTTTCTCGAAACCTCTTGTAGTTCACGAAGAAGAGGAAGAAGAAGCCCGCGGGCAAGCCGGTCGTCATCAGAAAGAGGTCTCCCGTGGAGACTCCCGATCCGGTGAGAGATGGAAGAGTGAGTTAAGAGTGTCCTTCGTCACCTACAGGGTGGTGGCGCGTGAAGAGGAGAAACAGAGCAGACAACAGGTCAGGGTCGGAGAGACGAAAGGGAGAGATTGAGAATGAGAGGGAGGTGAACAGAGAAGATGGATCACTGTATAGAACCGCGATGGTTCCGCGGGAGAAAGGGGAGCAGAGAGAGAGAGGGAGAGGGGCGGTGGAGACGGACAGGGATATGGACAGAGAAGGAGGAAGACAGAAGAGCAAGGAGAGAACAGACAAGACAAGCTGTCCCTTGCTCATATCGGAGAGATTGAGCCCCCCCTCCCTCTGTGCGCCTTGTTGAAATTTCTGTCGGAATCGATATCGAACCGGACCTGCCGGTACGTTCGTACCCTGGCGTGTACCTACTGGAGCACCACGGGTATACTAGGGATAGACTAGACACCAAAGTAGTATCTCTTGTGCCCTGCACGGGATGCATGCGCACGCTTGTACCACACCGCTTGTACCACACCGCTTTTACCATACCGCGCACGTTTGTACCATACCGCGTAACATTTTTCCGTCGACATGATTGTTTGTCTTGAACCGTGATGGAAGTGCTTGATTTTTGCAAATGTACTTCCTACTCTTATTTTCAGTCAGCACCGAGCATGGCCACGGTCCCCTATTGCCCCCCCCCCTCATTCCATTATCGACCCCCCCTCCCTCCGATCCTCTGACCCCTCGTCTCTCTCGTCTCTGACGCTGAAACACGTTTTCTGTGGCTCGTGTTATCACAATCACGGCTACATGGACCATCGACCCGACGCATGAACCAGACTTGGGATGGACAGCCGTCCAGCCTTCTTGTCAGGGAACTCAAGGGACACACTGCTCAGGTATTCGCCTCGCCTAGTACTTCCCTGTGTTTGATTGTGCGTTGTCGGTGTTTTTTGGAAGTTATTTTTGGCCTCCTTTAGGCCGCGCATGCAGGGTGGGTTTCGCAGAGCCTGTGATCGTCTTGTATCCATGGCTTGGACCACCCAAAAGTATTCGAGAACATCCTTACACCACGGGGGCGACTCGCATGATGTTCCCGACAACGAGACCCTGGCACCCTTTCTCGCGGTGCTGTGTTTTGCGGTGCCCATGTGGATTACTTTCCTATCCATAGACCGCACTAACCAGCCGAAGAAGTCAGTTGCTATGTGTGTGTTTTTGTCTTGAAGTATTTTTTTTCATTTTTGCTTGCCAGGCAGATGACCCACGATAACAACCATTGCCCACATGTTTTTTTTGTGCTTTGGTGCAAACTCTCAAAACAATATGTGTCGACTTGTTTCTGTTTTTTGTTGTCTTTTCTTTGTCGTTTTTGCGAACGATATTGTTCTTCCTTGCAGGTGACGGGTGTGGCCTTCAGCAACGACGGCCGCTTCGTGGCGACTGCTTCGGAAGACAGGACTGTCCGCATCACTTACCTGTGAGAGAAACTAGAGAGTGACACCACGGCTATTGTTAGAAGCTCCTACGAAGACGAGTGGATTGATCGGGTTGACACGGGTTCCCATTACGAATAGTATTGCGTTGTGGCTGGGGATCATATCTGAATCCGTACCATCTCCTCCCGCCAACGTTCATCCCTCTTTGCTGAATATTCATTTCCTCCCCCTCCATGGGCACGCCCCCTTGGGTATGACGACCTCCGTTTCTTCGCGATTGTGTGCATCTGTGCATATGCTTTCAGGGACACCATCAAGGATTCGTCACCGCGATACATCCGCGTGGGCATTGAGCTGGACCACGTGACGGCCCTGGCCTTCAGCGACAACAGCAAGAGGCTCGTCTGCGCCACGGCTAAGAGCAAGGTGAGTTACTTTTTATGAGAGAGCCGGGACTAACGCGCTTCTCTATTGGGACGTCGTCGTGGCTGGCCAAACGGCCTGAGACAAGGGACCAAATCATCCCCATCATCTGTCACGAAGCCTGTCTGCGTGTGTCCGTCTTTGTCTTGGTAAGGCATCGACCCCTTGATGTAACCGGCTGACCCCATGAAAAGTATTTTGTCTGTCTGTGTGCGTGTGTATCCGAGTAAACAGGGAATTTGCTTGTACAACATCCAGCTAAGCGGCTGCCCAATGAATGTCTTCTGTCCTCGCATGTGTATCCGAGTAAACAGGAGATTTGCTTCTACATCATCCAGCTGTCCGGTTGGCCAATAAATGACTTTTGTCCTCGTGTGTGCATCCGAGTAAATAGGAGATTTGCTTCTACACCATCCCCACGGCGAAGGAGAGCAAGGCGGGGGGCGGCAGGGCGGAGCTGCTCAAGAGCTTCCCGTCGGGTCACGAGGAGCCGGTCACCAAGATCTTGCTGCTGGACGTGGACAAGGTGAAGTTCCACATCAGTAGTTTGTTTCCTTCTCTGCACTGCCAAAGACCGAAGGCATCGTCTAGTCGCTACCGTCCACCCTAGGAACTATGGCAAAAGGCACCTTTTTCATCGCCCCCGGGACGCGTTCGTAGTGATTGCTGTGTGCCTCAAGTAGATCAGCTCGGTCGTGTGTACCGCCAAACCGCGCCCACACGTAGCGTCCAAATCTGTGCATGTTCTCGTTTCCCTCTTTCACTCACGATCAGTCAATTGTGTAACATCGTGATTGGCATACTCGTTCTCGTTCAACAACAGTGGATGGTCGTCGTCACCTGCGCGTGCGGGTCTACGGAGACCGGCATCAGGTTCTTGAACCCCAGGGGTGACTGCCTCGCAACGCTGGACACCAACCAGGTTTGCTGCTGCTTCTGGTTTGGTAGAGAGACGTTTCGTCAGTGGTAGAGAGCCGTCTCGTCAATGGTATTGCATTGCATGCACCTGGTACTTGGTAAATTGAAGTGAGGTGCATTTGGCAATCTCGCTTGCTGCTTGGGTAATAGTATTCCTAGATTGATAGCCCGTGTGATGTGGCGTTCGGTTTGGACGTTGGTCTCCCAAGGGTATGAACTGCATTGTTTTGCTTTGATTTGGTTGCTTGTGGTCCGGTCGACTTCAGATGTATCGTTTTTTGCTTGTCTCCGTCGTGCGTTGTTTCTTGGTCGCGAGATGGTTTGGACTTGAAAAAAAGTGGTGGTAGTTTTGTGCGTAAAGTTCCCTGTGCTGATAGACTACCCTCGCGAATCTGGTGCCCTTTTGCACAGTTTTCGGCCCTCCTGCGGGATAGTGGGGTTGAGTTACTTCTTGTGTGCTTATACGTACGGCCGCCTGGTTCAGACGATTGCGTTGCAAGGAGAGTCTCTCGCGACATACGTCAAATTCTACTCGTGTGCGAGTGCTAATTACTTGGTGTTTCATTGTATCTGGTGCATTTTTACTCGGTTTGTTTGTTTCGTTCGAGTGCGTTCAGGAAGATGCGAGATTCCAGCGCTGTTTTCGACACCAGGACGTCTAAATGGGAAACGAGTAGAGGCCCAAACGATTATATCAACCCCCCGCCCTTTTTTTTGCGTTGCTGCCCAGAGAATCAACTACACGATGGAGGCCTCAGCGGACAACCGATTCCTCGCTGTTGGAGCGGGCATGCCGGAGGTGAACATTTTTGCTTCCGATTGGGGTAGGGTTCGGCCCAGTCAACGCAAGCTCAGTTTCAGACAGGGGTCGCGACCTTGCGGACCAATCGTTCCGCATGACGCACAAGCGTCTCACGAAAGACCGTGAATGGACGACGAAGCGTTCAGCTCGCAGTTGGGGTCGGATCGGGGCCTCCCTGTATCATGGGCTTGGCCATGGTCCGTACGTATTCTCATTACCTCATATCGTGAGACCAAGAAAGAAATCGCATGTGCTTTGAATTAGCCCCAAAGAAAAGGTTGCTTTTGGTGTTGTTGTCGTTGTTGTTGTCATCGCGTTAAAGCACCACTCAAGCCACGAGCGTATTCAAGAGATAGTCGCATGGAAAGCTCATCAATCGCGATGAAAAATGTGTGAAGTGCATGGTCAACAAGCGTGAGAAAAGCGATAGCAACTTCGCGTCTATTCGGATTATGCTTGTTTCATGAGGGGTTCATTTCCTGCTCTTCTGTGCTCAATTTTGTCTGTCCCGTCATCTCCTCATCCACCATGTACGCCTCTTTGCTCGTCGATGAGGGTAGACGTGTTAGGATACCTCTGACCTGACATTTTTTTGTTTTCTTTCTGTGTGGCGGGGCAGGTGAAAGTGCTCGAAGTAAGCAGAAACAAGGACGGGGAGTTCAGCCAGGTGGCGAGGGCCATGACGCTGTCGGGTGTCCACACGAAGGGGGTACACGGGGTGTCCTTCAACCCTGAGTCCACCAAGGTGGTGACCGCGTCAATCGACGGAACCTGGTGCGTTCGTTCAGTTACACTTGACACTTCTTGTGCCCTCAACGCCAACATCCTGGGGTATCGATCTATGTGGTGCAGTTGTCGCACGCCATTGTTTTTGCTCCACGTTGTTTCCCTCCCGCCGGTGCGCATCTTGAACGAACTTGCGTTGGTGTGGAAACCAAAGCGAAGAAATCATAAACACCCGCTTCTCAGACAACAGGGTGCTCGCTCTCTTTGCCAATGATTCTGGAACGAACCCCACATACCCTCCCCACCACCCTCTCCCTTCCCACACAAACCCCCCATTGCCCCCCCATTTGAAACCCCCGTTTTGTTTTGTTTTTGTTTGCCGGCGCGCCAATCAAAAACAGGGCGCTCTGGGACACCTCTGTCCGGTACAACCTGGACGAGGACCCTCGCAAGTTGGAGCAGCACGCCTCCAAGGACGCCATGAACTCCAAGTACTCGGCCGCCGCCCTCGGCGGCGAGGACGCCAAGGTGGTGGCCCTCTCCTCCGGAAGGCACATCTTCTTCTTCTCGGTCGGGGAAGGCAGCGGCAAGCAGGTCGAGAGCGTCGGGGCGGCGCACGGCTCGTCGGGCACTTCCATCCTGTCGATGCTGGCCTCCAAGGACGGGAAGCTGCTCGCGACGACGGCGGCGGGGGACTCGCGGGCGCGGCTGTGGAGGTTCCCACGAAGCGGCGGCGGCGCCAGCAACAGCAGCGGGTAAAAAACAGTGTTGTTGCCTCTCGCGCGGCTGTGGAGGTTCCCTCGAAGCGGCGGCGCCAGCAGCAGCACCACCAATAGCGGATACAAAACCGTTTTCTTGTCTCCCGGCGCGGCTACAAATCGTACCCGAGCGGATAAAATCACCGAGCGGCTAATATTCGTACCCAACGGAGTGTCCACGTGTCAGGATGGGTGGTTTGTAGTTGTTCTTGAAGCCAAGGAGCACACGTAACGCCAGGGTGATTGGGTAAGCGCGCGTGTTTGTTTTTTCTGTGTTGGGTAGTTCCATCAGTACGGGTTCGAGGAAGACGTTTTCGGGGAATTCTGAAAATGGTGCAACCTCAACATCGCCCCCGCTTGCATGCGTCGTGTGTTTTCTTCGTGGGGGTCGACACCGCTCGAAATGCCTGAGCACTTTCTCTCGCACAGCGTTCGTGCGTATGTGCTGAGCTCTAGCTAAATTCCACGTGGTAGAATCGAATGGCACTGGGGTGTGGCCTGGTCTATGCGGGCCGGTTTGGTGTTGGAACAACTAATAGCGACTATCATTCGGCCGAGCGCTCGGGGGGGGGGGGGGGGGGGGGGGGGGGGGGTTTTTTTTTTTTT